TCAAGAAAGGAAGGCAGTGACGGCGGAAGTCGCTGGACCATCAGCTTCTCGTTCTTGGCGAAGCACTTGAGGTTCTCGTCGGAGCAGCACCTGTGGGCTAAGCGCACTGCTCTGGCCCGAGACACTCTCAACAAAATTGAGCACCACATTTTCGCTAAAGCTTTCTTGAACCAACAGCGCTGATAGAAGAAAGACTGCAAGAAACATCCCGAGCGGAATATACCTCACCTTCTGCGCTAGCACGGTGCCGAAATATTTACAGCAGGGCCAAGCCCGAAGATCGAACGACATAGATATCCTGGCGTCGACCTCTCCTGTGGCGGGGTGAACTTTCCTTCAGCCAGCTTCCGCTGTGCGTCTGCTGGCTTCCCTCATCGAGGCCTTCCTGGCTTTACTCCTACCGCGCTCTGCGGGCTGAAACCAGCTTCCGCCGAGGGCAAGATGCCAACGTCACTAGCAAAATGGTAAAAAGAAATTGTCCAACCTACGACAGGCGGAAGTCCCAGATGCCCCAAAAAGCCAAAAACGTTGAAAATCTTCCGCAACCATCGCGCTACCAGAAGGATGGCCAACAAAAAGCACGAACGCGCCTTTCCAGCTACGGCGAGCTTCGGCACAGAAGAGGCCCCCCGACCTGGACCCGAGGAGCGGACCGAAAGTAGGCGCCCCTCCTGAACCCCGACGTGGTCCTCCCCTCGGCGTCCTGACCTTTACTTTAGTCCTCCCTCCCCCTCCCCTTCCCTCCACATCCCCTCCCCAGTTAGGAGGCAGCTACTGGGAAGTGTTCGCCGGAAAGAGCAAGGAGGATTAAGCCCCATTTGGGACCTGTTACGCCGGAGTGGGCCTCGGATTAAACGGGATTAAACCGGATTAAGCGGGATTAAGCAGAGTAAGCCGGATTTCGGACTAGGGCAAAATCAAAACTTGACCTCCCAGGAGTTGCATCCGAACCCTAGGTCGGCTGCACGCAAGAGTGACCCTGGGCAAGAGTGACCTTTGGTGCCCAGCTTGTTGGGGGCCGCGGGGGTCCCAAACACGAGCGCGCAAGACGCCACTGCCGCCTCGCACTCGGAGATCGGGGGACCCCAGTGGGCCCGCACCAGAGGCCACTCCGGCGAAGGGCCTCTCGTACGTGCAGTCGAGCCCCAAAGTGGTCCTCGCTTCAGCGTCTTGGCCGGCATCCTCCCTCCCCCTCCCCCGTCCCTCCCCCGCCCCCCTCCCTGGGGGCGATCTGGGGGGCGGGTGCCGCTCGGCACCGTGGGCGCCACGGGCCGGTTGGGGCGTCAGACTGCGGCCCTGCACTAGGGGGCAAACAAACCTACCTCGCTTTTGACCACCCTCGCTTCCAAGAGATACCAAACGATGCCAAACTACGGCCTGTACTGGTCCGGCCGCTTGACGAGGAGGCGCGTGGTACGACTTGGTTTTGCCTGGAAGCGAAGGCGGGATAGGTAATTCACGCTCGGATGTACGCCACTCCGAGCGGGAGAGCCGCCGGGCACCCTCGGCAGCAGGCAGCTCCTGGGGAGGCCTTCGTGCCGTGGGAAGGACCTGACGACCTCTGAGCCCAGCTCGCATGCCATAGGCTGCACAGTCAACCCGCAATGCGGGATGACGATTAATAAAACAAATGGAGGGGAACGATTAAAAAACAGTTTTCTGCTATGTCTGCACAACTTTCTGACTGGAGGAGAACGATTTAAACCATAGTTTTCCAGCCCGCGGCCGGTTTTTCTAATCGTCATCCCGGGCGCCGCCGCGTGAACACGACCCCGGGTCACTTATTAATCGTCATCCTCCCATTGCAGTAAGGATGCGCGAGATAGATGCAAAAGGCCTTGGAGGGCCATTTCGAAGCTTTCCGAGCGCGGCGCGGCCAACGAAAGTGGCCAAGGATGGACCCTTGGGAGGGTTGCCCATCCTTACTATGCGGCTTCACTGTGTAAAGCTGGACTGGCGGGCTGGATGGTGCCCAGGAGGTGAAGCCAGCTTAGGCCAGACTTGCCGGAATTCAAAAGGATTGGGTGAGATGGCGCAAGTTGGCGGCGCGCAGAAGGGGGTAAGGGGGAAGTCTTCTTTTCTTAGAAGGAGGCTGCTTCTTAGAAGGCGCCAGCCTTAGACCTAAACAGAAGGCCCGCGCCTTCTAAGAAGCAGGGGTCCTTCTGAGAAGCCTTCCCCCCTCCCCCTACCCCCCTCTGCGCGTGGCCGAGCAAGAGTGGGCAGCTGCTCGGCCACAGACATACCAGCGCCAGGACTGCATTTGGCCTCCCAGGCTCTGCATCCGAACCCGAGGGGGAACGACAGGGGGGACGGGCTCAGTGGGGTGTAACGTCGACCTGGAATCGGCGATGCGTCGCCGATTGATCGGCATCGGCGATGAAGTGGCGACCGGGGGCAGAAGCATCCCATTCCCCCCCCCCTGAGCCTACCCCGACCTGACGTTGCCCCTGATGTAGGGAAACGCACTCTATACACCAACGCTTCTTCCGACCCTGCGTGCGCTGAAATTCGCGCAAGAACGCGGCTCCTGGTGTATACGGGATCCTGGTGCATACTTGTTTTGTTGTTTCTCTTGGAAAACGGGGGGGAAAAGATACACCACACCAGCCCCACGTCGTCCCCGACCCTCAAGAAGTCGTGGGATTGAAAAAAACAACCCGCCACTGGTCATGTATATGCTCCAGATCTCGATGATAGGGGGCCACGTGCGAACCCTACCCCTACCCCCCACGATTTCTGAGGGGAAGGGTGGGGTTCACTTTGCTCGGGAGTTCCCGAACAAAGTGAACCCCACCCTCCCCCTCAGAAATCGTGGGGGTTAGTAGGGGAACAACAAATGAAATAAACAAAAACTCGGAGGGTTCCGCGCGATTTTCTCGGATCCGCGCTGGAACCCCCTCCTGGCGCGCGGGGCGCGCCAGGGGCGGCGCCGGAGGCGCCGCCGGGGTCTTCGGCGCGGATCCGAGAAAATCCGCGCGGACCTCCGAGTTTTTATGTTTATTTCACTTGTGTCCCCCTACAGAAATCGTGGGGGGTAGGGGTAAGGTTCGCACGTGGCCCCCTAGATGATTACCCCCCCCCCCTGCCGGGCCTCGCCGGAGGAGAGAGAGGAGGGGGAGGGAGGGGGAGGGAAAGAGGGAGAAGGAGGGGAGGAGGAGGAGGGAGGAGGGAGGGAGGGGGAGGAGGGGAGGGAGGAGGGAGGGAGAAAGGAGGGGAGGAGGAGGGAGGAGGAGGAGGGGGAGGAGAGGGAGGAGGAGGGAGGGGGAGGTAGGAGGAGGAGGAGGAGGTCGATGATACCCCCCCCCCTGCCAGGGCCCCGCCTGGCCGCGGTGCAGTCCTCCCCCGCCGCGGCGCACGCCGCCTGCGCAGGCGCGCGCGCGCGCCGCTGCTGCCCGCTGCGACGGCTGGCCTCGCCGCTGGATAGAGCGCCGGCGGGGGCGGCGGGAGGGCAGCGGACCCCCTACAGGGCAGCTTTTAATACATGGGATTGTTGTAAACATCGGATTCTTAGTACATGATTAATTTACGAATAACTTCATGCATGAGCTCATCGTTGTTTTTCATACTGAATCCCTGCATTTTTAACACATGAACCGCACGCGGAGCATGTATAAAAAAACGGCACTGTCGACGCTGCCCGCTGCGACGGCCGGCCTCTCCGTTGGCAGAGCGCCAACGGGGGCGGCGCAAAAAAAAAAAGGATTGTTAATGCATGACTCATCTGTGAATGCATTCACTAGGGGGGCCACGTGCGAGCGCCACCCCTGCCCCCCACGATTTCTGAGGGGCAGGGTGGGGCTCCCTCTGTTCGGGAGCTCCCGAGCGAAGTGAACCCCACCCTCCCCCTCAGAAATCGTGGGGGGCAGGGGTAGGGTTCGCATGTGGCCCCCTATTTATGCATGAGCCCATCGTTGTTTTTAATGCTGAAGCCCTGCATTTATAATAATTACATGATCCGCACGCGGAGCATGTATAAAAAAAAACGGTACTGTAGGAGCAAGGGAACGCGCCACCGCCAGCGGCCAACAGCGGGAGGAGCCAGGGGCCAGGGGGGTCCCCCTGCTGGCGTGGCCCATCTCCTCTCGCTCGAGGCGGCCCCCCTTCCCAGAGCTCGGGGAGGCAGCGTGGAGCTCCTGGAGGTGGCCCCCCTGGGGCGGGAGGGTGTCGCTTCCCCTTCCCCCGAGCCAAGGGCATCCGGCGTCCCGCTCAGAAGCTGGCGCTCTGGTTGCGGCGTCGGCCTCCAGCCGTCTTCGGGCCCCGAGGCGACGGCCAGGAAAGCTGGTCCAGTCGATGGGGTTTAGGGGCTCGGGCCGTGAAGCACGGCGACGCTGGAGGCCTGCGGAATGGAAACGGGGATCGAGGGGTAGAAAGACAATGATGAGGAGCGGGGGTAAGAATAGCAGGAGGAGGAGGAGGAGGAGGACCGGACTCCGCGTGGGGGGCAGGACGAGGAAGAAAAGGAGAGCGCCAGCGCGGTAGAGCAGCCGGACTGGAGATGTTGTCTATGCAGCAGCGCCACCTACCGAAATCGACCCGATACCTTCGCCTATGTCTTCAAATCCGCTAAGACCACCTCAGTGCAAACACTGATTGGGGAATTGCCTGGCCTTATTGGTTCCAACCACCGAAACACTTCATGTCGCTGTTATTTCGGCAGCGGATGCCGGACACGACCCTGGAACTGCGAAGCACAATACTCAACAACACTTTCCATCATGGGTCTCCACTGGCGAGCGGAAACCTTACACTCCCATCTTGGTGAGACGTTGGTGTATTTCCAGCCGCCCTGGCACAGGCGTCTCCCAGCGCGGACACATGCATGACATATTTTGCACCTCGGTAACCAGACCAATAGCGACAGAGTGGGCAGAGGAGCCAAGCTTCCTTGGGGCCCGATCTGTCCGCGGACGAATCATGAGCTGAACCATGAGAAGAAGGAGGGTATCATCCTGGCCTTGTTCGTTTGGGTCGACGGTTCCCTCAGCTATCAGTGACTGCGCGTGTGCACTGACGACGATGGACGCAGCCCTGCATTGACACCAAGATGCGGACGCTTGCGACCACGATGCAAGCGAGCTATATTTGTCCGTGCTCGACGCTAGACTGACTGTGTCGACCCTCGGCGCGTACTCGGGCAGTCCAGAGGGCGAAACGGGGCAGCCAAGCCCCATGGCCAAAATCCAGTGACGGGTGCAGACAGAACCTTGCAAATGCAAGCTTCGACTCGCAGACCTACGTCTCGAGCCCATACATCGTGCGCGGCAGAAGGGAGCCCGTCGGGCTCGGGCCGGCCTGGGCTCTCACAGGGAAGACCACGTCGCCAAGGTCACGGCGGGCAGCCTCGCCAGATCGCAGGGCCACGAGGCGACGGGAGCCCGCCGGTCGCCGCGTCATCCGGGCGGGGACCCCATCAGCTGCGTCATCGTGCCCTGCATCTTCTGGCTTATCTCGGCGAACTCCTTGTTCATGGACAGGGCGTTGTGATGTTGCATCACTGCACGTTCGATGTCCTCCGATGTGAGGCTGTACTTCTTCTCCACCTTGGCCCCGACGATGGCCTGGGAGGCCAGCGTTACGGTTTTCATGTCCCAGGGCTTCTTGCCCTTTATCTTGGAAAAATCCCTGGTCAGATTATCGAGCTCTTGCAGCATGAAGGCGTGCACCGCGACCACTTGGGCCTCGCTCATCGGCTTCTGCTTCTCGGGCGCCCCAGCAGCGCTCGGGTCGGACATGCCCATGATGCGCGTGATGCCCATCATGACTTGCGGGTCGTTCTGGTGCATCGAGAGCAGCTTATCAAATTCAGGCATGGACAGGCCGTGGCGGTCGAGGGGATCGTCTGGCTGCACGGAGCGGACCTGCTCGTAGGTCTCCTCGAAATCACAATCCTTCGCGATCAGCTGTGCGGTCAGCTTCTTCATGTGGAGCTTCATGCGCTCCTGCGACTCGATCATCTGGTTCAAGATCAAGATCACCTGATCCTTGCTCACGTCCTCGGCGCTGACTGGTCCCTGGCCGCCCCTCTTCTTGTCGCCATCCTCTGGTGCGGAGCCGCCCGACTCGCCAGCCTGCCCCTCTGGGTCCTCCCGCAGCAGGTACCAGAGGACCGCCGCAACCCCGCCGGCGCCGGCGGCATACATGAGCGCCTTCTTCCAGCTCTCCATGCTCAGGCGGGACGAGAGGGCGCCGATGCCGCGACTCCCTGGACCTCTCCCTGGGCACGCCCTGACCCGGCTCTCGAGGCGGGCCCAGCCGTGGCAGCGGAGGCCTTCCGAGACGAGCAGCGGTGCGGGCACCTTCTCCTCCCCGGATGCTCAGGCTGGAGGGGCCACTCAACGGGGGCGGCTCTCAGGACCCTCGGGACCCACCAAAGGGGGGGCTGGCCATCGCTCGGACGTCCATTCCCTGTGCTTTTTTCGGTTTCGTGCGTGTGTTTTTTTTTCTCGCCAAATGATCAAAGATGCTCCTCAATGGTCCTCGCAGAAAGAAAAATGCACACGTCCGAGCGATGCCAAGGGGGTGACCCTGCGGGGGGGGGCGCGTGAGTTCGATCCGCGGGTGCACTGAACTGCCGCAGACAGCTGCCCCCCGCATGCCCCGCCCGTCGACAGCTGGCCATCGGGAGCTGCCGGCGGCTGGGGGGCAGCTGCTCTGGGCGGTCCGGTGCAAAAGCCGATCGAACTCACACACACACACACACAAACACACACACACACACTTTCTTTTGATCTGCGGGGCGAGAGCGAACCTCTTCCGCTAAAAGCTAGGCGGGCTACGAACAGCTTTAATTAGGGAGACAGGGCACAGGAAGGCGGGGCCTCCCACACACACACTCACACACACACACACACCCTCTGCGGGATCCCGAGGCCCCCCGCGGGGAGGGGGGGGGCGCGAGCAGGAGCTCGGGCGCCTCGCCCCCGAGGCCGGCACTCCCCCGACGGGGAGAGCCGCGGGCCAGCGGCCGGGCTCGAGCCGCGGCGGGCGGAGCGCGAGGGCGGCACGGAGGGGAGGGGGGGGCAGGGGCCTCGTGTAGAGCTCTCCGGCATCGGTGAGATGGAGGAATTCCGGCGCGGGGTGCGGCTGGTACCTCGTAGAGCTCTTCGGCATCGATGAGCTAGGGGAGTTCTGGCGCGGGGTGCAGCTAGTGCCTCGTAGAGCTCTTCGGCATCGATGAGCCAGAGGAATTCCGGTGCGGGATGGAGCTAGGGGGGGGGGCGGCAGGGGCCTGGGGGCAGCCAGAGGAGGGGCGCGGGCGGAATGTGGGAGAACGGGGGCGTGAGAGGGCACCGGCTGGGCGTTGCCTCGCGGGGGGCGGCAGATGCCGGGGCGGAGGGGAGAGTGCACCTCTCGCGGACCTGCTGGGCCGCCGGAGGATGTTCTCGGGCCCCGAGGGTGTACGAAAAGCGCACCTGCCTTCACCACCCCGTTTATCTCGGGTGGATGCCTCCAGGGGCCTCCCGAGTATTCTCCGAGGGCCCCACTGAGCTTCGTCGGGTGGTGCAAGGACCAGGATGCGTCCTTCCTGAGTGTTCCGGAACGCTCTAAGAGCGTTCGGGAGTGCTGGAACAGCCGAGGCGCACGACGACACATCCTTCCAAACCCTCCATTACACATCGGGCCGCCTCGGCGCGGAGCCGAAACCGGGCCGGACATCGGCCGCGCCAGAATTTGCACAGCAGCACCTCGGGACGCACCCGATCGTCGGAGCATCGGGAGCGAACCAGATCGGGCTGCCCAGGGTCTCGGGTCGGGCGAAAGGGGGGGATAGCAAAGGGGGGGGTCGAGAATCAGCTCACGTGGCTGACTTTCCCAGCGCCTGCCGGCGCCGGGAGAGGCGCCCAGGTATCGAGGAATGGGCCCCGGCGGCGGGGCCGAAACCAGCTGCATGCAGCAGATTCCGTACCCCCCCCTTCCCAATCCCCCCCTTTCGTCGGGCCCGATACGAGCGTTTTCGTCCCGCTTCGGGCCCCTGGACCCTCACAGATCGATCTGGCTCGAAAAATGACGCGAGAAGATGGGGTCTCTGGGGCTCGGGTCGTGAATTTCTGCGATGTTGCAGTGTTTCCCCTTTCGTCCGGCCCGAAAGTCGCTCTCGAAGCGGCTGGAGCGGCTCGAAACGGCCCCCGTGGAGCCCCCCCGCGGCAGAGTCTCTGCGGTGCCCGCCCCGCGCGCGCGCGCCGCCTGGTCGCCCTCCGCGCCTGCGTCCGCGGCATCTGCGGCCTGCCCGTCCTCCTCGTCGTCCTGGCCGCCGTCTCGGGAGAGGGCGAGCAAAACCCGGTGGGAGGCGATGTCTGGTGGGTCTTCGCACAGGGCAGTTTTTAATACACAGGATTTTAGAACACGTAGGATGTTTAATACACGACTCATGTATGAATAAATGTATACATGAACTCATCGTTGTTTTTAGTACTGGATCCCTGCATGTTCAATAAATACATGATCCGCACGCGGAGCATGTATTAAAAACGGCACTGTAAGGACGAGTCCGAGCCCGAATGATGGGCCGCGAAGGCGGAGTAGCCCAGAGTTGCCGAGGCATGGGCCATATAGTAGAGCGGACGATGCGGGAATGAGCGGAACTGCAATGGACTACGCCCGATTAGGCCAGGACTACGCCCGATTAGGCCAGCGCCGATGCGAACATGAACCTTCCAAGAGTTGCATCCTGACGGCTGGGCGCGCAGGCACGGGAGCGTTGGCAGGAGCAACTAGCCTCGGACCGCTAGAACGGATCGGAGCGGAACGAGCATCGAATCGGGCCGCATCGGCACAGAGTCGGAATCGGATCGGGTCGGCAGCGCCAGGGTGCATGGCAACGACCATACAGCATCGGGCCGCATCGCATCCTCGGAATGACATAATCGAATCGGATCGGGCCAGACGGAATCGACATCGAATCGGATCGACCGGGTCAGAGTAGAAACTGACGGGGCCATTGGAGAGCGGCCTTTGGAGCCCAAGGGCGTCCAACAGCTGTCCAAGGTCCAGACAGCTGTTTTGGGCACCTCCCGGGTGGCCAGGTCTCGCCACCCCGAGAACCGGATCTGCAAGACGTGCGGCCATGATCAGACCGAAGCCGAGGACACGGCCTCGTCCTGCACTGCGGCACCGTGCTGAGCGGCACACTGCCTCCTCCTCGCCTCGCCCTGCCCTGCCTTCACGTGCCCTACCCGTTGCCTTGAGCACGTCATTGCTGGATGCATCGGCGTGCGCCGCACCTTCCCTTTGCCTGAAACTGCCGAGCTCCACGCGACCATGCCGCACGCACACACGCACACACAGAAGAGAGAGAGAGAGAGAGAGCTAAAAAAAGATTACACACAGGATGTGCAGCTCCTTTCGAGGGTCTGCCCAGGACCACTCACCACTGAGCACACTGGGCAGCTCGCGACGAACGCTGTCCGAAAAGACGTCCCCACACTGGACCTCCGACGTGGTGCTTCCGCGCGACACGGACCGAGAGCTCCCGCGTGCCGCGAGCACCTTCTGCCGTGGGCCCCAAAGGGCCAACAGCGGCGCCCTGACCCCGAGATCGCGCGAAGAACAGGCCGTCGTGGTGTCTCCGCGCCGCCAGAAGTCCGGGAATGCCCTGCGTCCTACGGTGGGGGCGTGTGCCAAGAAACCAATTGGATTTTGCCAGGGTGCCCTGCGTTTCTTGGATTTCGATGTGCCCCCAATAAGATGTTGACGATTTTCGATCGACAAATTTGGATTTTCACTGAACAAATCGCGGATTTCAGGGTTGGGTTTCTTGCGGAGGTTTCTTCTGCCCGAGCCCCCACTGTACGCCCTGCGTCTCTACCAGGGAGCTGGAGCACACTCGCGCAGCTGGGTTCGCGTGCGGAGCACACAGGGGCTACCTGATCTGTGCACGCTCCGAGGGCAGGGCGCAACCGGCCGCGCGAGGGGCGACCGCCAGAGGGGCACGCGGTCGCATGACCGCGCGGCCGTCGCCACCCCGGCCCCGAGCGCTCTTGGGGAGACTGCCTTTACCTCCGCCGCCTTGCTTTCCGCCAGTCTGGAGGGGAACGATAGGGGGGGACTAGCTCTCGGGGGGAGGCATGGACCTGGAATTGGCAACACATTGCCGACAGATCGGCGAGAGGCCCGATGGGGAAGCCGCCCGCTCCTGGGCCGGGTGGGCCATCACAGGCCCTAGATCGGCGATGAATCGGCGATTGGGGGCCGATGCGACCTCCCCCCTAATCAACGCTGCCCCTGACACAAGGGCAGCCGAGTTCGCGCTTCGCGCTGCGAGAAGCGCGAAGCGAGAATGACTTTGAGCTCTCGCGCTGCCCGCCTCCCTCGGGGAGAAGAGTCAGACGAGGGGGATTCGTAGATGCCTCCCCGATGGGGGTCGGAGTGGATGGGGTCGGAGGATCGCGCCGCATCGCCGACACATCGACGATGCATCGGCGATGTCGGCGGTGCATCGGCGATGCACTGGCGATGCACCGTCAACGTCGGCGATGCATCGGCGACGTCGGCGTGGGGAAGCACGGACTCCACCTCGAGTCGCATCGTCGATGCATCGGCGATGCGGAGCGATCCTCCGACCCCGTCCACTCCGACCACAGCTGGGAGGCCCTAGCCCCCCCCCACGGGGAGGTCGGTGGGGAACGGCCTCGACTGGAGGAGGAGGAGGAGGAGAAGGAGAAGGAGGAGGAGGAGGAGGAGAAGGAGGGGGAGGAGGAGGAGGAGGAGGAGGGGGAGGAGGAGGGGGAGGAGGAGCAGGGGAGGAGGAGGAAGGAGGAGAGCAGGAGGAGGAGGAGGAGGAGGCGGAGGAGGAGGAGGGGGAGGCGACGCGCTAAGCCAACGTTTCTGACCAGAGGCCAGCCGCAGGAGGGCGACGAGAGCGAGGCCAGCCGCAGGAGGACGCAGGAGGATCAGGACGAGCAGCTGCGAACTGCGAGCCGCAAGCCGCTTCGCGCCCTCGCGGCGGGCCCTGGTGGCAGCCCCCGAGCGGCGGGCGGGGCCGCCGCCGCTCTCATATACCTCCACGGCCCTCCTCCCGCCATCCCTCGCCGAGGGCGAGAGCTCGCGGGATGCCCGTGGAGGTCGCTTGGGGGGCAGCGTTGTTTCCAGAGCCAGATCCCAATACGCTCAGCCTTCGCGCTTGATCGGTCAATAAGAAATCCTTACGACACCCATTCGCGACAAATTCGGACCTAAGGTTTGCTCTTACCGACGATTGGGCTGCTCAGCTTTGCTCTTGCCCTACGAGCATTGCCTTATCCTCCGTCGCCCCAGAAACACAGATCGCGTTCGCTGCCCCTCAGCGAGCTGAAAGGATGCCCCCTGCCGCAGCGCCCACCCGAAGCAGAGGCCTCCCAAATGGGGTCCGGGTAGATGGGGCCGAAGGATCCGCCTCGCCAGTGAACCGCCGATGCATCGGCCAGGCGTCGGCGATACGTCGGCGACGTTTGTCGCTGCATCAGCGACGTCGGCGTGGGGAAACGCGGTCTCCACGTCGAGCCGTATCGTCGATGCATCGGCGATGCGGCGCGATGCTCCGGCCCCATCTACTATGACCTCATCTACGAGGCCTAGAGGGATGCCCCCCGCCGCAGCGCCCCCGGGATCTCTGGGATCCAGCGGTTCTTAAGAACATTTCGGGCGCCGCGGCCGTTCCAGAGGGCTCCAGGACGCTCTGGGAGCGTTCCGGAACGCTCTGTAACGATGTATTCTAGTCCTCGCTCCGCTGGACGTGAGCCAGGGCCTCAGGGTCTCATGGCGTCGTCGACAACTTTCGGGTCATAATTCGGGTCCCCGGAGGCCGTTCGAGACGATCCGGGCACCCCCGTACGTGACGCCCTTGGCTCGGCGCAGCTGCTGGCAGGCATCCCGAAGCTGGAAACCCGCCAAAATGAACGGAAACGTCCGAAAACCTCAACCCTGAGATCCGACGCTGCCAAAAGAACTGAAGAATCGCTGGAAATCACGAACAGAGTCCTAGACCCCGTCTTTCTGCTATATCCTTCGAGCCCGATCGATCTGTGACGGCCCTGGGACCCGAAACTGGGCCTGAACGTCTGGTGTTCGGAACTTGTTCGCAGCCGAACTTTCTCCAGACTTCTTCCGAACTTTGAAATCTGAGCAACGTTGGACTTGAACTTTGTAAAGACATCGGCCTGGAAATTGTTCCGAACGGTTAATTGTTTAACATGAGGGCCGTTTGCAGCCCTTCAGCTGAAGGGCAACGATAGGGGGACACATCGACCTGGAATCGGCAATACATCGCCAGCAGATCGGCGACAGGCCCCCGATATGGAATCCGCACGTTCTTGGGCAGGTTGGGGCTATCGGGCCCCTGTCGGCGAACAATGGGCGATTGGGGATCGATGCATCTCCCCCCGTGCCTATCCCCCCTGTCGTTGCCCCTGCAACTCGCGCCCCCCCAACCAGCTTTTGGACGCCCGAAATGGGTACGGAAAGAATGGGTACAATGCCCAACAACAAATGTTGTCCCAAACCAACAGCGGCCGCTGTTGGGCAGGCGGCCTCCTGTCTCGAATGGACACAGGCCGCGGCGACACCGACAGCGAGCCCTGTTCAAAATGAACAGGAACCGCTGTTGGACATTGTACCCATTCTTTCCGTACCCATTTCGGGCGTCCAACCAGTTACGAAACTGGGCCTGAAAACTGCAACGCCCGGCAAATCTCGGGGAGCCTCGAGCGGTGGCTCTCCCTCGGCGGCTGCAGCGGGCGCGGCCTGCCAAGGGTGTGGTATGCAGCCGGCACCCCGGGGGGCAGGCGAGACTGAAGGGGCCCTGGGACATACAAATAAATACACACAAATGAAAAATATTCTTATATTTTTCCATATTTTCTGGATGCTTGTCTTCCCCCCCAATTCCAATATTTTCCCTTATTTTCTTGGGAGTCGACGATTAATTGTGTCTGTGTGTTTCTTTCCCTCCTGAGAGAACCTCGACCAAGACCCCCTCGCGCTGTGCAAAAAGCACAACGGGAGGCCTTTAGCTATTTTCAGCTGCCAGGGGCCCTCACTGGGCCTCAGGACCGTGATCAAAACGACTCGGGATGCAAAACCCGTCCTGGGAAGGGGTCCAGACCTCTGGGAGTCAACGTTGTGAACAATAGGAAGGAGCCCTCCGCCGCGCCCCGAGGAGGCTCCGGGAGGGCGGCGCGGTGCCCCCAGCGACGCAGATCGCAAACCACACCCCGGCGCCCTCGCTCCCTGTCCTATAGGC